CTACTACTACTACTGCTGCGAATACTTTCAAGAGTTTCATCCCTCGTCGATTTTTTGATGGTGCATGATTTGTTTTAGATAAGAAATTTGGCGCTGTTGTTTGTGGGAAACCAAGAGCTATTGAATTTTGGGCACGATGTTGTTGCCATAACAGAGCCTTGTTTTTTGATCACAGTCTGATTTTTGATCTCGCAGCGCCTGTGAAGGGATTTATGAAGCCAAGGAGCCCTGGACCAATTTTCAGTACTGCAGCCGCTGTGCCCACGCAGGCCAGTTGGATCGGCAGCATGAATAAGTTGACGCAAGTCTGAAGCTTCGTTCTTGTATGCATGGATGTATGTACAGATGGACGGACGGAGGGTGGATGGATGGACGAGTGGGTATAAAGGTTGGTTGGTAGGTTGGTGGGCACATATCTGGGTATGCGTATGTATGCGAGGATATTTGTGTGAATTCAGGATTGTCAAGGTCGGGATGCATGCAGGCATGTTTGACACTGGCCATTGTCCTGCTTTGCACGAGGCGCGAGCCAGCCGAAGAGTGTTCTTTTTATTGCAGATATCTCGCATGAACTTCCCGAGTGAACTCGCATGTTCGTAGAACTGCCTGCGAAGGCCATGCCAGCAGCAGACCCCGCGCGCAAAGCTGAGACTACCGCCCGCAGTATCAAGTTCTCATGATGCATGCAGCGCTGGCACATGCTGGCACAGCAAAAAGGTAGCTAAGCTGGGTAGCAGCGGGTAGCACCTCCGAGATAGCATTCTGGACGGTAGTCAGTCACAAGCTTCCCAGCAGCCTTGAGAAACACTGTGTGCTAACCTAGCCTGACCGTTCTGACAAGGCAGACCCATCTTCCCGCAGCACTAGACTCTAAATCCTTGCCTACGGACATGTGTGAAGCCTTGCCTGCTGCGTGCGAGAGTGAGAGTCGAAATCCTTGCCTGGCGCGTCCAGCCTGAAAGCCAAAACCCTGAAAACCCGAAGCCTCAAGCGGTAAGCCTGCCATCCGCTGCTTTGGGCTCCCAGGCCGAAGCCTTGGAGACCCTCCTGGCTCACCGACGAGGATCGGTGGGAGATTTCGAACCTGTCAGTGGTACCGTGTGGCTGATTGTTGCTGGTAGCGGCGGTAGTGGTACGTAGTAGTAGCAGCAGCCGCATCGGCCGCAGCAGCAGTAGAAGTGGAAGTGAAAGTAGAAATGGAAGTAACGGTGGTAGTGGCAGTGATATTGGTAGCCGTTGACATTATATGTGGTAGGCAGCAGGTCTGGGACAGCAGGTAGCAGGAAGTACCGTGTAGGAACCATAGTGGTCAGTCGTCAGTCTAGTAGTAGCCGAGGTAGTAGTAGGGGAGCTGCCACAGGTCGAGGTCCGTTCGTCGTCGTCGTCGTCGTCGT